CCCCCAATGTAAGGAACACTTGACCTGTGTGGCTGATTTTGTACGTTCTAAGCGTTTGATTGTCTGATATATTGTGTACATGCGTCTACTGCAACATGTATCCATTTGAGGGGGAAAAAATGGAAATGATCCACGCCCAGGGCGAGACGGGCGCGGCCAGGGACAGGGTGGCCGGGGCAGCCCTGCTGGTGCTCGCGGACAGGGAAGGGGGGCTGGTGGGCGGGTGGGGGGCGGTGCTCGCGTCCAAGGAGGAGCGGGACGGCCGAGAGGGGCGATGGTTCCCTTGGTTCAGCCGCCACCGCCGGCGGCCCCTTTTTCCTCTCGGCTCTTTAGGACTTAAACTGAATTTCGATATCGATTTTCGATTCCTATTCTGTCGATAAGACCGGGCCTCTTGAGGCTCGCTATTGATACTTCGGAAAAGTCGTGCAATTTTCCATGGAACGGTGAAAAGAAAACCCGACTGTTACGGTTGTTCTATTCGTGATGTCATCGCAAAAAGTACGTTTCGTTCCCTGAATACACGCTTTGCTCGGCACACAACAGGTTGACTTGGTGTTGCTCGCCATAGAGCAGCGTCAAAAGCGCAATGAGCAGCACCCGACACACAGGATCGCACACTTAGAAAGATCCTATCCACCCGGCCTGCTGTTTTCAGTTTTCAGCAACAAAAGGCGCAGGGCAGAGTGTCGCAACCTGGGTGTTGCTTGCGATTTCTTCAGTTTGCCAGCTCATTTTTCACGGTTGCGACTCCAATCTCTGACCACCACCTGCCCGAAGGTAGACGAGCTCAACAATCATAGGGCGGCAGCCGCGCTGACGGCCAGCATCATATAGATGGCCAATCCGAAAGAATTAGCGTTGTCAGAGGCCCTGTTGCTCTTCTGCTGCGTGGTGCCGTGGATTGATGTTGACGTGGCCGACAAAAACAGGACATCTCGCCGCATTTTTTCCAACGACATTTTGGTGAGGTGGCACACATCTCTCATACACCTTATTGAGCAGCATCCAAGCACTCAATACCCACGAAGCAGCACGGTGCCGGAAGGTGGTATCATATGGACAGCCGAACCGAAGGAATCAGCGCGTTGGAGGTCTTGGTGCTGCTGCTGTGCTCGTTCTACTGTTTCCGTGTTTGTTATTTGTGTGATTTTAAAAAAATCCCAGCACCAACAGCAGCAGTTGAAGACGAGAGCATAACGCAATGTCTAGTTTTGGACCAAGAACGTACTGAACACCGCTTCTGCCGCTTGTCCATCTCCACAACAGACCTGGACGTGAGTCTGGCAGGTCTTTCTAGCGTTCTCGGTCATGTTACAGCGCCCGCGGTGCGCTTGTCTGATGCTTCTGTCAAAAACACGGATCCGTGATAATGGCAAGCCCCGAAAAATCCCGGCTCCTCCTTTTCACGTTTTCGGGGAAAAACGCCTCCATATTTGTTCAAGCAAACACGCTTCCGTGAAATGTTTCGTAATTATTTGTCGTTAATAGTTACCCCCTAGCAACGCCGTTTTGGCAGTGGTTCTACAGCAGTGAAATAGGTTGACGGAGGTACAGCAGGGCAGAGCCGGACTTGTTTTTCGTGCTCAATGCTCCGATACTGGTGTGTGCGGTTTGCTTTGACTCCTGGGTTATCTTTCGGGCTGGGTCATAAACCCAAAGAGGTTGAGAATTCAGTANTAATGGCAAGCCCCGAAAAATCCCGGCTCCTCCTTTTCACGTTTTCGGGGAAAAACGCCTCCATATTTGTTCAAGCAAACACGCTTCCGTGAAATGTTTCGTAATTATTTGTCGTTAATAGTTACCCCCTAGCAACGCCGTTTTGGCAGTGGTTCTACAGCAGTGAAATAGGTTGACGGAGGTACAGCAGGGCAGAGCCGGACTTGTTTTTCGTGCTCAATGCTCCGATACTGGTGTGTGCGGTTTGCTTTGACTCCTGGGTTATCTTTCGGGCTGGGTCATAAACCCAAAGAGGTTGAGAATTCAGTATCGTCTGCAAGGGCTTCAATCCTTCCCTTCCGACACCTCACACCACCACCCTAGACCCACCTAAAACTGAACAGATATCGGCTATTCGGGCGTGTGCCTCCAGAAATCGCCTTTCGAAAAACACTTCAACAATACCACAGGGCTTCCGTCCGGGATTCGGTGCAGTACCGAATAACGTATGGTACAGGGTATGAAGTGGGATGAGGAGTGCTTCCGGAGACGCTAACGGAAGAGAAACAGTAGCAACGAGGCACCCCGTCATCCCCCCAACCCTCCTCACGCACCCCTTCCCCCAGCTTGTAAACCTCGCCGTGGGGCCTTGTGCGNAAACTGAACAGATATCGGCTATTCGGGCGTGTGCCTCCAGAAATCGCCTTTCGAAAAACACTTCAACAATACCACAGGGCTTCCGTCCGGGATTCGGTGCAGTACCGAATAACGTATGGTACAGGGTATGAAGTGGGATGAGGAGTGCTTCCGGAGACGCTAACGGAAGAGAAACAGTAGCAACGAGGCACCCCGTCATCCCCCCAACCCTCCTCACGCACCCCTTCCCCCAGCTTGTAAACCTCGCCGTGGGGCCTTGTGCGACAATAGTTTCTCGGAAACCAATGTTGACAACGCACCTGTCGTGCGGGAGGCCCTGGGTTGTGAGTTGGATACATGGCGTCAGCTAACAGGAAACCCAACTGCCGTGCTGTTACCTTGCCCCTGCAAATTTCGTGATCTAATGCCTGAGGCGAACATCCAACGATACGTTACCGACTAAATATCAAGAAGACTGGCATGGACAAGCGAACGGGGTCCGGCGGAGTCAACACGCGCATGATGATGACGATACTGCTGGACGAGCAGCGTGGATACCGTCCAGACACAATTTGGTCCCAACCAGAGGGGGGCTGGGGAATTATCTGGTCGGGCGGGCGGGGGATTTCGCGTGGACGTGGTGCCTCAAGGAGATGTTGGATTGGAGTCGTGGGCAGGGGAGAGAGGAGCTTCAGATTGGGCTGGGACGAGGCGACAGGTGCTTGTGTATGTGCTGTGGGGGGAGGGGGGGTGGGGTGTTGTCGTCCTGGTGGGGACCAAGGGAGTCGTCAGCGAGAGAGAGGCGGTGGACGGAACGAGGGGGATTGGGTTGCGCCATTTCGACAAGCACCACTGGCCGCTACACGAAACAAGGGCGGCGAGAAAGTTTCGGTAGGCGGTCTTCCATTTGGAGATCATTTTTTTTTGCTGTCTTTTTCATGGAAAGGTGCTGTGCAACTGTGCAAGGTGATTTTTTTTTGTCGAACACCGTCCCCTAAAATAGGGTCAAGGAGTAGGTGGCAGACAAATGCCCCCCTGCGATGTGCACTTGCAACCTTTGCGCTTGGCGCCTGTACTTGGTATGTTGTTGTTCCTGTTCTCAGTCTGCTGCGGCAAAGCACCGGGGTAGATGTTCTTGCCTGTACGCCGGAGTTGTGGCTGATGTTATTTGCTGGTTGGTATGTCGTGATGGACACCCCCCACACTAACTTTATGGGTCGAAGGGGCTATTGTTGCAGAACGAGGAGTGCCACCCTACGGAGGTGAATGAAACGATTAAGATCCCGGGAGTAATGCCTCGGACATTGGCCAACCGCCACGAAAAAAACTAAAATGCCCCACGGCTAACTCAAAGTTTTGAGCTTCGGCCAGTCTTTTGGGGGGGAGATTCTCATGTAGGGGGCGTTTTGCACGATAAGTGAACTACTGTAGACCGCACGAAACAGAGAAAACTCCCTGTGGGGAGGTGTGGCGTTTGTGATTTACACACCACGAAAAACAAAATGTTGGGAACTCATTCACGCGGTAAAATGCGTTTGACCCTTGACACAAAGCGCAGTATACCGTGACCACCGGAGCATGATTAGTGCAATCTCCATTCTCTGCCTTAAAAATCACGCACGTGGCACATTGGCCCAAAAGAAGGAGCCCACCTGAAAACGACATACATAGAGGGAACCACACAAATGGCCATGCTGAAAGGTCCTAGGTGAAACGGGTTACGACACGGCAAAAAAAAGCCTCTGGGCAATCGGTGTCAGGGCAAGGTACATTTCTCGGCATCGGCTCAGCGCTCTTTCCTGCTCCCCAAAGTACGAACGCATGCGATGCTGCCACAAACATATTTGCACCTACATTTTAGCATGTATCATTCAATTCTCACGCAATCCTTGTTTCCTCAAGAGGTGCTTAACCTACTTTACCTACAAATGCATTGCTTCGCCCTTTAAAAAACAAGTACACCACGACTTTACGAGTGGCGTGGAACATTAAAAAAATCTTGCCACCGTACCGTCTTTGCCCTCCTTTTAATACCAACAATGGCAGCGTGGGCCTTCCAGGAACCACACCGACATGCATAACCAAGCACGAATGCGAGGGACGCCAAAACCCTAACGTATCGAATACACGTGCTAAACGAATGTGTCCCAGAAATACATGGCGAGAATGCAGGAATGCCACCTGGATCACCCCTAGAGCAACGAGCCCTCCTATATCCCCACCCAATTCCCGCTCGGTCTCATCCCTACCTCATACTGCGAGATATTCCCCCACCACTCCATCAACCTGCGACATTAATAACCATCGCAAAAATAAGTGAGAAGGGCGATCGGGGGGAGGTCGGGTGGGCGAACATTGCAAGGCAACAGCAGCTGTACATCGTTTTTTATATTGCTGGTGCGCCGATCAGCCGTTTCGTTGCGCAAACACTCGAGACAAGGAAAATCAACACCGTGGGCAAGATGGCACACAAATATGTTGAGGCGTGGGATAGAGTGCCGGCCCACTCGTAAGAAACATCCTCGTAAGAAACCGAGGCTCATATTTTTGGGTTGCTTAAGAAAAAGCGCCTAAGAAATTGAGCTACTTGACGGAGAGTGATAAGAAACGGACTGATAAGAAACAGCACAATTTCGACTTCCTAGACAGAAGAAACAGATGATCCAAGGTTGGCCGCAGGAAAAAGAAACGGCGTCCACGCGCATACAATAGACGTGGGCCTTCTTCCGCCGCAGGAGGGTATGATCTCCTTGAGACCGCGTCGGCGGACCCCCCAGGAGCGCCGCCACCGCTCACAAACAAACTCGTGTTCTTCATGCACAAGGAAGGCAATGCCGCTTTCAGACGCATNGAAGAAACAGATGATCCAAGGTTGGCCGCAGGAAAAAGAAACGGCGTCCACGCGCATACAATAGACGTGGGCCTTCTTCCGCCGCAGGAGGGTATGATCTCCTTGAGACCGCGTCGGCGGACCCCCCAGGAGCGCCGCCACCGCTCACAAACAAACTCGTGTTCTTCATGCACAAGGAAGGCAATGCCGCTTTCAGACGCATCCATCGGCAACCTCGAGAGGTTGTCGAAGTTTGTTGATGCCGGCTTCATCAAGGAGAGCAGCCACAAAGATTCCATCAAGGAGCACGTGATGGCCAACAACCCATCGACGACAAGTTCTGGTCGTATGTAATGTGGAGTGCATGGCCAACTTGCTGTCCAGCGGCATGTTTACGGCGGAAGACTTCCGAGAGCAGCTAGATGCAAAAGTTGCAGACCTTTTGCGAGACGGAGCACCACGGTCGGCAGCGGCGGGCGGAGAAGCAGGGGTTGGTGGGTCGCAGGTGGTGGCGACTCCTAGGCCTGCACAGAAAAAGGGCAAGCGCACGGCCAAGGAAGCGAGAGCGGCGGCGAACACGATGCACTGGAACATCGTCAACTGCTGGGCCGCAGCAACAAACAAGCCGGTGAGTTGGTTGGAGATTCTGTTTGCATCCTTTCGCCATGTTCGTGAATGACGTGTGTTTGTCCGGTGCATCTCCTGTTTCGTCTCCCTCGCCCGCATTGTTCGCCGGCAGAGAAAATAAAGCACGAAAATATTCTGCGGAGGATTCCTTTGGTTCACCATCGAGTTTGCGGACGCTATTTCGAATCCTTGCAGTGCCATTATTTTTTTACTCTCGTGTTTTTTGTCAACTTTTTTTTCTGCAACAGTTGCAGCTGGTGTCTAAGTGTGCCAATCTGGCGGGCAGAGAAACCAAAACACGAAATGTTTTGCGGGGGATTCTTTTGGTTCACCATCGAGTTCGAGGGCGCGGTTTTGAATCCTGGCACTGCCCTTTGTTTTGCTCTCGTGTTTTCTTTCAACTTTTCTTTTCAGAGACACTTGCTGCTGTTGTCGAAGCGTGCCAATCACGTGCCGCTGCCGTTGACAAAGTCTGTTGTAAATTACTTGGAGGGACAGTTGACAACCATGTTTTGCTGCACTCTAAAATCCCCGTACCCCGGGCCTCGCTTTGCTGATATTTTCTCGCAGATCAAGCGTACTCGCAATGGCATCGTGGAGGAAGTCACCCGCGTCCACTATCCCATCGCACCGCCTCCTCCCAATTTGATGTGCCTGTACTGCCCGAAGGCCTTTGCCTCCGAACAAGGTCGATCGCTACACTGTCGTGCCGTGCACCCAGCTCCTCTTCGGCATCTTGGACGAGGGCTCAGGCGCGCCCTCGCGGCGGGTGGGACCATGACGACTCCACCTTGGCACGGGTATTCGGGCAGGTGTTTTAATGTCGTCTTTCACCACTCAGAGAGAGGCGGGCACACCACTGCGGCGGGCCAGAAAATGTACCACGTGCGAGGGAGCTGTTCGTTTGAGCTTCAGCCAAGGACCCAAGGCGATGGTACATCAGACTTGCCAGATGACGGCCCTTTGTCGGACGAAGAACGCACCAAGCGGAAGAAGACATGAGGGGCTGAGAAGAGAGCGCAGTACAGCAACAGGAAGAAGGCTGCGGTGGTCGCGGAGCTGCGAGAGCTGGAGGCCAATCACGCCGGGAAGATCTGGCATGTTCACGGAATGTCGTGCCAGTTCCCGGCAAGGAAGACCGGCATTCCCCAACCCAACATCTGCAAGTGAAACGGTGACGCAGAGAAGCTGATCGCAGGCCGCGGCCAATGACTTGAAGAAAGACCTTTTCAAGACTGGCAGGGAGACGAGGTGGTTCGGAGACGCAGAGAAGAAGCTGCACTCGCTGCTGCTGCAACGGCGCAAGAGGAAGCTCAGGTGTCGACAGCCTGGATTCGAGTCAACGCGAGAAAGCTCGTGGTGGAAATGTATCCGGACGACCCGCGTGCAAATAACTTTTCAGCGTCGGACCGGTGGTGCAGGAAGTTCGCGAAACGCCACCATCTCTCGAAACGAAGGCGCACAAACATGACGAAAAAGTCGGTGGAGGACCGTCTTCCGCAGATGAAGAGCTTCCACAGGAGGCTGCGCCAGCTGCTGCAGGAACCACCCGTTCGCCGGGCCGCTGGTGAGGGCGCCACCGAGAACAACGGCGCCACCGATCGTTCCTGTGGAATCGCCCCTCTACGGGCGCCTCAGCCTGAATACGCGTTTCAACGTCGACCAGGTTGGGCTCGCATTCGTCAACGGCCTCGACTCGACATGGGACCAGACGGGAGCTTTGCGAGTGCAGATTGGGCAGCCGTTCCCTATTCTTGAGAAGCGACAGTGCACCGTCAACTGTTGCATCGGAGCTGGCGTCAGGTTGATGCGGACCGCGGTCATTTTCCGGGGCAAAGGCAAAGTCTCGGCGGTGGAGAAGGCGGCGTACGACCCCGGCGTGGACGTGCTCTTCCAGGAGAACGCGTGGATGGACGGCCCAACGTGCATGGCGTGGGCAAAAAAAACGCTTCCTACGCAGCATCAAGGGGGAGGAAGGTGTCCTTCCAGAAGAGCAGTCCATCCTTTTCGCGGATAACCTGCACGCGCCGACAACGGACGAGTTCAAGATATTCCTTCACGGCGAGTGCAACACGCTGCTGCGGCTACTTCCGCCCAAGTTGACCGACGAACTCCAACCGGTCGATGCCGGCTATGGACGCCTCCTCAAAGTCGAAGTCGGTAACGAACTGGATGAATTTCTTGGGCACGAGGAAAACCTTTGCCTGTCGGAGACCAACAAGCTTTCAGCTGGTGCAAGGCGAATCCTTTTCACGCGATTCATTGCAAGGGCGGTCGCGCGAATGGACGCTCGGCCTGGGTACCGCCATCGCCTGTTTGAAAAGACCGGACTGGCGATGACGGCAGACGGGTCGTTGGACGACCGCATCACTCCGGAGGGTGTAGTTGGGGCGTACAACTTCATGGACGGGGGCACGAGCAGTGACGAGGAGATGCCCGACCAGGATGATGAGGTCGGCGACGACGATGGGGGGGCGGGCGGTGGTGAATCAAGCTGCGACAGCGACGCAAGCGCAGATGATGATGGTAAGTTTTCGAGTCTAGGTCCGGTTTTTATTTTCGCCTTTGCCCCTCGTTTTGCATGCACTGGTGGGGGGCTGTGAAATTGTTCAAACGCGCGTGTCTCACGCCGGCTTTTTCTCGACAATTTTCTTCACATCGCTTCATTTGCTAGGTGATGACCATGGCGATGCTCAAGACCCGCTGTCACAGCTAGACAGCGACGATGACGTCGACTCCGACGATGACATCATCGCGATGGAGCTTCCGGTCGGATTCCGTCTTCAAGAGTCTCTTCAGAAAAGCTGGATTGCGCATTGATTAAGCGTTGCGTGTTCTTGAGGCGTGGTATGGGGTGGGTCTTGGGGCAGATCAGCCGGGCAGCGCCCCCGCAAACAAGCCACACGTACGACTACCGCGTGGTTTTGGCGTAAGATCAAAGCACCATCAGTGTGAAGATGCCTCTAGATGCACACGAAGTAGACGAGGCGAACGCAGCCGTAGGAGCGTGGGCGTTGATCGAGCCGATCGACGATTCGAATGAGCCGGCGGGGGGCTGTGAGGGGGAACAGCCACGCCGGCAGGGCNTCAGTGTGAAGATGCCTCTAGATGCACACGAAGTAGACGAGGCGAACGCAGCCGTAGGAGCGTGGGCGTTGATCGAGCCGATCGACGATTCGAATGAGCCGGCGGGGGGCTGTGAGGGTGAACAGCCACGCCGGCAGGGCAGTAGGGCGCGAACCGCCAACGTTCGCAACATTGACCAACCGGGATCGAGCATGCCAAGTTGTGACAACTTCACCAATCGATTTCGAAGGGCGTTAGGGATGTACGGAGTATTTTGTCCGCACGCACATTAGCACAATGACTTTGCGCTCCTTCTTTTTCTTCAGTACGGTACCGCCGGGTGTCATGCAAGCATGTACCCCGCGGGTAGTGCAAAGCTTCGTGGCTGGAAAAGGAAATAGGGATGATAAGAAATCATGCAATTTGCATAGTGGCGAAAATATAGGAAATGGCGAAAATAAGAAATCGTGCAACTCTCGTCGGGGAAAAATAGGAAATGCCGACATAAGAAATTCAGCTCACTATGGCTGCGGCAATAATATTTGAGCCTCGGCTGAAATAGGTGTTTCTTACGAGTGGGCCGGCACTGTAGCTCAGAAAAGGCGTTCCTCTACCGATACAAGCGGAGAATGGCATGACGATGATCGTGCAAGCTCGTTCTGTGGCAAGACGAAAATCGAAGGGGTGGGCTGCCTGACACGATTCTTGCTTTCGGGGATCACCTTCACTAATTCGTTCTTGAAGTCCTCCAACATGCCGTACGCGGTGCCCCGTTTCTCCGCGCTGCATCCTCGTTTCCGAGCGCTGCTTTCGCGCCAGCTGCGTCCGTTGCTCTCGGGAAGGCCTTTCCTCTACCAGCCGTCTACTCGGTCACGCGCGGAAGATCCAATTTTTTTTTTCTTCCGGCTGCGTGAGGTGCGATCGCCCCCGGTAGCGGCATTTTCGCCTTAATGACGTGAAACAAAAAAAGTGGCAACGTTACGGGACGCTCAGTCAAATATTGAAGCATTCGCACCTCAGAAATTGTCGGGTGCGCGCGCGAGAGCGGTAGGTCAAATGTAGGCGAAAACGTACTGCAAAAAAAAAAGTACCTTTTTCTCGTGTCGTGGTCACGCATGTTTGGTGTCGACAAGAAGAGTCGCAGGGGTGATGGGCGTATTCTAACGAATGCCTTGTACTGCTGTACGAACCAATCCACATTCTGTCTTACAAGGACTGCACGCTGGCAGAATGACTGCTGCTGCTGTGGACGAACACGCAACAACTCATGAGTGAAACAACATGCTGTACGTTTGTGTACTGCTGCACATGGTACACTACAAAACAAACGATTTACCATTGCTGCTACCGACTCGACTGACGGAATAGTCTACAGCAGGTTTCGGCGATACAGCAGTAGTTTCGGGGACACAGCAGAGGTACTCTCGGCATGTATGTGCCCATGTACAAACTACATGTAAACGCAGACTACAGCTGCTTCACGCAGTAGGTAACAGCAGCACCGTCAGTGGCACCAGCTTCTTTGAAATGCATGTGTGCTACAGAGTAGGAGGTCCTGAAACGCCTTGTACACGAATAGGGACGCACACATGTGGGTATCAGCGATTTGAATCATGAACACCACCCGACACATGCTTCGACTTAATGTGCGAGACGAAGAGTTGGGGTGGCATTGCGGGTGCGATCGAGTGCGGCGAGACGAGAGAGAGGGGACTAGGAGCGACACACGCACACACCAGGCGGACACACCAGGCGGACAAGTATGTAGACAGATGGGGAGAGAGACAATAACAAGCTTCTCACACACCTGCTGCTGCAACCTCGATGCCCGAGACATGATGGCTTCTCTTCCAACAACGTGGCTGACGCTATCTAGCAAGTAGGGTATGCTCTCGGCATCTTGCTGCTTCGCGCTTGCTCGCCTTGGCCTGAGGTGTTGCCTGGNAGTATGTAGACAGATGGGGAGAGAGACAATAACAAGCTTCTCACACACCTGCTGCTGCAACCTCGATGCCCGAGACATGATGGCTTCTCTTCCAACAACGTGGCTGACGCTATCTAGCAAGTAGGGTATGCTCTCGGCATCTTGCTGCTTCGCGCTTGCTCGCCTTGGCCTGAGGTGTTGCCTGGCGGCCTGCCGAGCAGGGAAAACGAATGCGGCTCGACCTACAGCAGCGCGTTATAACCGCCCTGTTTGCTGAATCCTGCCGGGATTTGCCGATTTGCCCGTGGTGACCAATACTCCTCTCTATGTTGGACCCCACCATGGTGTCACGCGTGTGGGTCCGTTGTCTGTGGCGTGCGTGGTGTGTTTGAAGGGGCATGGCCACTCGCCATCACATATGGCGAGATTGATTTGGAAAGTTGCCATTAAGCGTGTTTACAATGAAGTTGTGGTTCCATATGTTTGACTCCAAATACATGCATGTTGTTGTTTTTTTTCTTTACATTAATCGTGTCAGTTGCTAATCCCAAAATCTAGCAAAGACTCAGCCCGTGGTCACAAAAATGCTAGAGCGATCAGAGGATCTAAATAACACATACACTATTAGCCAGGAAAGGGTACGCAAGCCCGAGGAGGTACACACCTGCAATCCCTGCAGCACGTTTGCGTGCTCACAACTGAACTACACGCCCACAAACTACAAATCGACTACAGCAGCAGTATCACCCCCCTTGTCCCGCACTTGACCAAAATGAATGTTGGTCGACGCAGCGTACTGCTGTCTGAAGTGCTGTCTTGTTTGTCTTGTTGTTTGTCTTCACATTAAACCGTATGTCAGTTGCTAAATGCCAAAATCTAGCAAAAGACTCTCAGCCCGTGGTCACGAAAGTGCTAGAGCCATCTGAGGATCTAAAGAACACGCACACATCTGACGAGAAAAAGGTATGCAAGAGCCCGAAGAGGTACACCTAAAAATCCCTGCAGCACCGTATGCGTGCCCAAAAACTGAACTGCACGTCCGTCCCACCGTTCGACTACAGTAGCATCACCCCCTCCCTGTCCCACTCTATACCAAAACGGAAGATTGCCGACTACA